CCAAGAAAAAACAATTTTATCCCACCGCAAGTTAAAAAGTGAATTTTTCAGATTTGTTATTTTCTCCACTTTCAACCTCCTGAAGAAGAAGTCTCCAATTCTTTGTCCCTCTTTACGATCTGAGATTTCAAAGAGTAAAGACAAAAATCCAACATCTTTTCCCAGCTGTGTCTTCATCACTTCTAGCCAACTATTTCCTCAAATTAACCCCAATTACACTTTATTGCTTGCACCGCCGACAATTATAAATCTTCCATAGAAATATCACATTTCTTTTTTAACTTTAAGATCCTCAAGATCCAGTAGATTTTACTGGGATCGTAATTAAAACTTGCCCAAGCGAAGAAGGAGCCTATTTGCTTAACCCTATTTGTGTGCCATGAGATTGTGATAGTTGGGATTATTTGGTTTTTGGGTTTTTTGTTCTGTGTACTTTAAAGATGGCGGCGTCGGAGGTGGATGTCGCGCTTGATGCGGCGTCGGCTTCGTATAAGGGGATGTCTTCTGACAATATAAAAGGATTAGTGATGGCTTTGTCTTCCAGTGCCTTTATTGGCGCAAGCTTCATTGTTAAGAAAAAGGGATTAAAGAAAGCAGGGGCTTCTGGCATCAGGGCTGGTAATTTATGCATTTTTTGCTTCAATTTTAGCTATGTTATATGTGCATTTTTACTTCAATTTTGGAAATATTGACTGTTGAAAGTGCGTATTTTTTATATTTACTGTATTTGGAGATGCTTAATTGGAGTTTGTTTTCTAAATGAAGTAGCTGTATTGATATGGGAGAAATGGCACTGCTGCAATTGCGCTGTGGTTGCAATAAACTGTTGGGATCTTGAGTCATTTCTTGGGGATTATGTTCAAACAAGGGAAAGAAATGTAAACTTTTTGGGAGATCAATCCGGTAGGAAATTGCATTAGGGAAATGCTAGGAAAAAGTTTTCACCCTAGGGGCATTTTCGCGCTAATTCATTACTGGAGTGCTTAAGTTATGGTCTGTGAAGCAGTAGTGCTCTCTTTCTCAAGTAAACCTTGATTACCTGCATAGATCTTTAAACGGGTTCCCTTCTTATTTTCTTTTCTCCTTACACTTTGAGGATATGTTGATCAGTTGAAATAATAATCATAACCACCCCCCTCAAGTGAGGATATGTTGATCAGTTGTAATAATAATCATAACCACCACGCTCAAGTAGAAAATTGAATACTAATGTAGCTTCCTGTGGATTTCACAATCACAACTGTTGTGAAGTAAACTAGTAGGATTTCATCTGATAGTTTAATTATAGAATTTTTATGATATCAGTTGTTTTTCTAATCCCAGTTAATTTTATATATACCAACTATCAAGGGAATCTCACCAAAAAATTTCCATCACTTATGTGGAAATCGGCCAGTTGTTGGTTCGGATGCTTCGGGCAAAATTTCTCAGTTAACAAAGCAATCTATCACTGCCATTTTACTTGGTGAGAAGTTGCTAGACAATTTCTTTCACCACAGACTTGTGGACGTGCAATTGAAGTTGAAACACATACCTTAGACATTGTAAGGAATTGTAATGCTCAGCTTAGAATGATAAATTTCTATTAGCAGCTCTATAATATAGCATCTTTGGGGGTGGCATATAAGTGAACTTTTAAGGATGAGAGAGTGTGTGCGAATTGAGAGAGAATGCTTCTCTCTCTCATGCTATAAGTTTGCTTTAAGATGCTCTTTAATTTTTTACTTTTTTCCGTTGATTCACATCTTGTTTGTGATTTATATGTATGCTCTCACGATCCCGTCGTGGGATAGCTTCTTGATTAGTTTTTCTTTTGGTTATTTGGCTTTCTCAGGATTTATTTTCTAAATCTAGCCATTAACTTTTACTGTGTTTATGTTTATACAGGAGTTGGAGGTTATTCATATCTATACGAGCCACTGTGGTGGGTGGGTATGATAACAAGTGAGTTACTTTTTCTATTTGTTATACTATATGAAAAGTATTTGATTAAAACACCAATATGTCACCCGCTTGAACACATTTTAAACAAGAAAGAAAAGAAAATACTATACATAGAGCTAATCAAAGATGACTTCTTTTTTGTGGTTTATCATTCTTTACTTATTGGAACCAAAAAGAAAACGGTACATGTTTTCCCTGTTTGATGTTATCTATGGTTAATGTATTAATGCTGCAACTTGAATCTATTGTTCCTCAATCCATTCTCCATCTCATACACATGATTGTTTTCTCATCTTGCTAATGTTTAGTCCTTCTCCTCCTTATTGATATCTTCCATTTTTAGTTCACAATTTTTTCTCTCTTTAGTTCTTCTTTCTTTAATATATTACGTGTAGAATTATGGCATAAATTTTTAATTCTCTCCTTTTGTTGCAATACAAGTTTTTACTGGAACTGAGAACTCTCTTCGTCAATTGCTATTGCAACAGTGATTGTTGGAGAAATCGCAAATTTTGCAGCTTATGCATTTGCGCCAGCCATTCTGGTCACACCTCTTGGTGCGCTCAGCATCATTATCAGGCATGATATTATGTGGGATATCTTAACTACATATGATACCTTGTTTTGGTTCTGATCAATGTGAGTTTGTTGCAGTGCTGTACTTGCACACATTATTCTACGGGAGAAGCTTCATATTTTTGGTGTTCTTGGTTGCGCTTTATGTGTTGTCGGTTCCACGACTATCGTTCTTCATGCTCCACAAGAGCGTGAAATTGAATCTGTGAAAGAAGTATGGGACCTTGCTACTGAACCAGGTGACTTGGCCTTGCTTATCTTATTTCGGTACCTGCTTCTTATTTTCACATTTTATCTACTGAGCTTAACAACTGCGTCTCCCTGTAGCTTTTCTCTTTTATGCAACTCTGGTGATAGCAATTGTCCTCATTCTGATATTTCACTACATACCACTTTATGGCCAAACTCACATAATGTTTTACGTCGGCGTTTGCTCACTAGTTGGTTCATTATCGGTAGGTTGTGTTATTATTTATAAGATGTCTTCCTGGTTCAATCTCTCCTCTCCTCCGCACACCCAACATATAAAAGCAACTGGTTGTGGTTCTTTGTGGTTATTGAAAGTCATTGGAAATTCCCTGGCAGGTAATGAGCGTCAAAGCACTTGGAATCGCATTGAAGCTGACACTATTAGGAACGAATCAGCTAATATATCCGCAGACATGGGTCTTTGCTTTGGTTGTCATTTCTTGCGTGCTTACCCAACTGAATTATTTGAATAAGGTGAGGAATGATTTTCTTTGTTAACAATTTCTTTCTTTACTTGTTGATGCATAACGAAGTTTTAACTTGCAAGTTTTATGTTTTAGGGAAAATATGAAATCTGGCTAACATTATATTAAAATAACTTGGGCGTGTAAGCTAAGTGGCAGTTCTGGCCATAGTATACATTATGTGAAAATTCTAGTTCCTTGATTTTCCACCTAGTTGGTTCAAACATCTTATCACCAAAACCAACCTTCTATAAAATCTAATGTCATAGTATGTCAGACTGAGCATAGCTTCAATCTGACTTGGCAATGAATTTGTAATGTTAGAATTAGATCGGGGAGAGACAATCTACACACACACACTGGCTGCTTTATTTCATTTAGTCTTTGGTTGCATAAATTTTGTTTAGTATTGATGTGGTATTATATTGTTTGGATGGTTTATTTTTCATATACTTTTCTATTATTATATTTGGTGAATTTTGAATGCAGGCTCTTGACACATTCAACACAGCTGTAGTTTCACCCATTTACTATGTTATGTTCACTTCCTTGACAATATTGGCAAGTGTGATCATGTTCAAGGTAATTATTCCGCAGTATCTTTTTGTTCTTTTACTTGGAAGGGTTCCATGAGTAAAGAATTTGGAAAACAAAGTGTGCTCAATCTTTGCAAGATTGCTTTGGGCTCTAAAACATTTGTTATCAATAGTAAAAATACCTCAAACCTAGATGAAGTAGGTTGAAATTCCAAGCTCTTTACTGATGTGGGAAAAACAGAACAACCATCCCTTTTCTCCAGGTACTTATTTGTGTTCGGGGATGGGGATGGGGATGGGGATGGGAGAATGGGTAAATTCAAAAACATCGGCCCATAACATCACCATTGCATGTTGTTTGTAACTTATTTGAAGAAAGCATTTGAAAGTCCTGGTCTCTTGTGATTCTTGGCATAATTGTATATTGTTTTTTTGACTGAACACTATTTCAGTGATTGTATCTTGTGTAATTTAAAATCCAGTCCAGTTACTAGCCATATCTGGAAGTAATATTTTCTTCTTATGGAGGGGGAGAAAAAAAAGAGGGGGGGGGGGGGGGGGGNCTTTCTTGGCACAGAAAGGGATATCGTGCGATAGTAGTCTGCTCCACTAGACTACCTTCCGCCTTTTCTTGATCGTGTCGAGACGAAAGAAAATTTGATTACAATTTTGTAAAAAGCTTACAATAGAAAATTTGAATATATTGAAAGTAAATTGAACATTGATTGATGAAAACTGAACATTACAATTGTTGGTGTAGGGGGCGTATATTAGTGAGTTTGAAAGATTTTTGAATGACTAATACCTCCTGTGATAGCATTCCGAACAAAAATTTAAGTGACAGGAGTAGACGTTTAAAATATGAGGAATCATACTAAATGTTTACTAATATCAGAATTATTTTACAACTGAAATAATTATTACAATGAAAAGAAAATTACAATTCAAACTTGAAGTAATATTTACAATATGTGGTCGAAGTTGGGCAAACTGCAGCTGCGATAATGTCAAGGAGTTAAGTAAAGCTGCGGTCCTTAATATTCTCCTCCATTTGTTTTGGCGATGTTCTCGGTGCCATCAATATATGATATGCTTCAATTAATGGTTTGAAGGCTCCGAGATTTTTTTCTCTTTCCTAAGTATTCTTTTCGCTGTTGCATCCAATCAATTTGGCCAAGTACTTCTGATGATCTTTTCTAGAAACTCGAGTGATTCGATGGTTAAGAATAGTTTCAGCAACTTTCTTTCCAGCTTTCTTCAGTTCAAACACAGGTTGTTTTGGCTCATTTCTAGATGCGTCCTCTTTATCCGCAAAATATGGCTTCAACACACTAACATGAAGGATTTTGTGGATTTTACACCATGAAAGAAGTTCAACTCTGTATGCAACTCTTCCAATCCTCTTCACAATGGGTAATCGTCTAATGTATTTTGGCGTCAATCTCGAGTCTTTCCCTCTTGTTGGTTTGTAAATATTTCTGTCGGAAAGTTTAACCATTACCAGATCTCCAACATTGAACTCAATGAAACGGCGCTTTAGATGTGCAGCCTTTTTATACCTTTTTGAGCTTTCTTAAGATAACTTCGAGCAATTTCAATATTTCGTTTCCACTCTTGAGAAAAGTTCTTTACTTAAAGGGTCTTGGTACTTCGTTCGATATCCACTGTATGAGGGAGTAGCGGTTACTGACCAGTAACAATCTCAAAAGAACTCTTATTGGTGGAAGAGCTTTTTTGAGCATTGAAGTAAATTTGAGCCGCATCCAAAAGTTTTACCCAGTTTTTCTGCGAAATAGAGATAAAGTGCCGAAAATATTCTTCTAGCATAGAATTGAATCGCTCCGTCTGTCCATCAAATTGTGGGTGAAAACTAGAACTCATGTTCAAAGTTGAACCAAGAAGTTTGAACAACTCAGTCCAAAATATGCCAGTGAAATGCGGATCTCGATCACTAACAATGTCCTTAGGCAATCCCCAGTATTTGACAATATGTTTGAAGAAGAGTTGAGTAGTCTCTTACACGGATACATACTTAGGCGCTGCAATTAAAGTTGCATATTTTGATAGACGGTCCACCACGACGATGATAGTGCCAAAATCCTCACCTTTTGGCAACCCAATAATATAGTCCATCGATACACTTTCGAATGGCTGGGTTAGGACGGAAAGGGGCTCCAGCAAGCCTGTCTTTCTGATGATCTGCCTTATCTTGCTGACAAATAAGACAGAATTTTACATAGGTTGCAATGTCGTCCCGCATTTGAAGCCAGTAGTATGCACGTTGCAGTAGTGCACAAGTGTGTTCCTCTTCGGGGTGCCCTGCCCAAATCGTGTTATGACATTCTATAATTAGTGATTTCCTCAAATATCCGCCCTTAGGAACATATAGGCGGTCTTCCTTTGTCTTCACTAGTTTCCCATCGAGCTAGAACTATCGAGTTTTACCCTACTTGATGAGGTCGACCAAATATTGAGTAGCCAGGTCCTTCTCCATAAGTGCCCGAATTTGGTCTCTAGTATTTGTGGAGACTGCACTCCTTGAAAGAGCAGCTACGGAGCAAATGGCAGCCAAATCGGCTCGTCGACTAAGAGCATCAGCAACATGATTATTAGATCCGGGACGGTACTCTAACATAAAATTGAACTCTGAAAGAAATTCCTGCCAACGTGCCTGCTTACTCGATAATTTTGGT